TAGATCTGTCAGAGAAGTGATGTCTCAGGGCAGACTTCTCTGAAAATTCTAGAAACAGACAGGCAGATACAGAGAATCACAACTTACTGGAGCAGAAACCTCTGCCTGAACTCTACTGTGGTAGAAAACCCTAAACTGTAACTGACAAATTGCTGGAGACTCTGTGTCAATAAGCCTGAGAGTTAAAAACTCCAGGGAGACCCAGTCATTAGGAGGCCCTGACTTAGTCAGCTTGAGCTGCTGCTATAACAAAATACTATAGACGGGGTAGCTTAAACAGCAGACATTTATTTTCTCACACTGCTGGAGGCTGGAAGTCTGAGATCAGGGTGCCAGCCTGGATGGGTTCTGGTGAGAACCTTCTTCCTAGCTTGCAGCTGGCCAGCCACCTTCTTGCTGTGTCCTCACATGGCAGCGAGTGAGTGAGAGCAAGCACTCTGGTGTCTCTTCTTATGAGGGCACTGATCCTATGACAAGGGCCCCACCTTCAGAACCTCATCAAACCTAATTGTCTCCCAAAGGCCTCATCTCCAAATACCGTCACACTGGGGGCTATGACTTTTGAGGGGACACAGTTCATTCCATAGCAGGGGCCCGCATTTTGTGAGTTCTACTCCAAGAGCCTTACCAGTTTCTCACAGTGAATATTGGAGAAAAATTCCCTTGTGCTTCTGGCATGGGGTGGGGGAAGATAACTGTTTTGAAATATGCCAGAGAATTCTATTCTTCTTAAAAATGTTTACCCTCAAGAGAAACTATTTTACCAGAGCGTAATCTTGTTGGAGTGTTATCATAGCCTAATCAACATGGGAGAAGGGAAATACCCAGTTTCAGGTCCCTCCAGCCATCCTATCTCACCTAAGAAGGGGAAAAAACTGAGAAGCACTTGTCAAGTTCACAGCTCAGGGGCAGAGATTCACAAAAAGACAGAATCATAACTATAGAATGCTTCCTCTCATGCCACACCTTATCCCCATGTCGTTGAAGGCCTTTTTACCAGAGTTCCTTTTACCCAGTACATCGTGTCTGGCTTTCACCAAAAAATTACAAGGCGTACTAAAAGGCAAAAGACATACTTTGAAGAGACAGCAAGCATCAGAACCAGACTCAGATAGAGCAGGGATGGTGGAATTATCAGACTTGGAATTTAAGACAGCTATAGTTGCTATGCTGAGGGCTCTAATGCAGAAAGTAGAAAACATGCAAGAACAGATGGATAATGTAAGCAGAGAGATGGAAATTCTAAGAATCAAAAAGAAATGTTAGAGCTCAAAAACCTTGTAGCAGAAATAAAGAATGCGTTTGATGGCTCATTAGTAGAATGGACATGGCTGAGGAAAGATTCTCTGACCTTGAGGATATGTCAGTAGAAACTTGCAAAACTGAAAAGCAAAGAGAAAATTGACTGAAAAAAACTGAACAAAATATCCAAGAACTGTGGGACAACTACAAAAAGTGTAACATATGCATAATGTGAATACCAGAAGGAGGAAGAAGAGAGAAAAGAACAGAAGTAGTATTTGAAGCAATAATGACTGAGAATTTCCATTTCCCCCAATTAATGTCAGACACCAAACCACAGATCCAGGAAGCTTAGAGGACACCAAGCAGAATAAATGCCAAAAAAACCCTACACCTGGGCATATCATACTCAAACTGCAGAAAATCAAAGATAAAATATCTTGAAAGAAGCCAGAGGTAAAAGCACCTTACCTATAAGAAGGGCAAAGATACAAATTATATCCAACTTCTCTTCAGAAACCACGCCAGCAAGAAGAGAGTGGAGTGAAATATTTAAGTTGTTGAGTGAAATAGTGGACCAGCCTAGAATTTTGTGTTCTGTGAAGTTATCCTTCAGAAGTCAAGGAGAAATAAAGACTTTCTCAGATAAGCAGAAATTGAGAGAATTTGTTGCCAGTAGACCTGTCTTGCAAAAAATGTTGAGAATTTCTTAAGAGAGAAGGAAAATGATATATATCAGAAACTCAATCTATATAAATAAAAGAAGAGCAACAGAGAAGGAATAATTTAGAATAAAAACTTTTATTTCTTTTATTCTTAGTTGATCTAACAGATGAACAGTTTGTTCAAACTAATGATAAAAATGTATTCGATGATTATAGCTTATGTAAAAGTGAAAAGAATGACAGCAATGATATAAGGGAGAGGAGGGAAGAATTAAGAATATTTTTTATTATAAGGTATTTTACTACTCATGAAGTGGGTATAATGTTATTTGAAAGTAGACTTGCATTCGTTGTAAACGTATATAGCTAACTCTAGGGCAACCAGTAAAAAAAAAGTTGTTAAAAAAATCTCTTAAGGGGCCGGCCCAGTGCTGCAGTGGTTAAGTTTACACATTCCTCTTCAGTGGCCCTGGGTTCAGCAGTTCGGATCCCAGGTGCGGACATGACACCACTTAGTAAGCCATGCTGTGGCAGGTGTCCCACATATAAAGTAGAGGAAGATGGGCACGGATGTTAGCTCAGGGCTAATCTTCCTCAAAAAAAAAAAAATTTTCTTAAGAGTTGGTTAGAAAAATCACCTGGAGAATGACCAAAAAAAATTGAAAACAGGAGAAGACATTAAAGATCAAGCTATGAGAGCTAACACCCAACTAATAGCAGCTGCAAAAAAGAGAGAAAATAGAAGAGTGGGAATATCAAATATGCTAAAACAGTTTTCTAGAATTGAAGAACAAGAGTATTCAGATTGAAATGGCCCACTGAGTACTTGGCATGATGTAGGTAAAAAGATCTACCCGAAGGTACATCATTGTGAAATTTCAGAACACTAGAGATTAAGAAAGACACCAAACATTAAGGTACCAAAAAAGCTTCTAGAACAAACAAATGAAAAATAAGTCAGTTACAATGGAATAGCAATCAACATGGTATGTCAACAGCTACGTTCGTTGACTGGAAGACAGTGGAGTAATATTTGTAAAGTTCTGAAGGAAAATGTGTCTAAGATATATAGGTATATATAAAACTATCAATCAGATATGGAGATAGGATAGAGATTTTTTCAGACATGCAAGGGCTCAAGTATATCTATATCTTTGTATCTACATTATCTACCTACCATGCATCCTTTTTTCAAGAAACTACTAAAGAATGCTTCAGCAAAACAAAAGAATAAATCAAGGAAAGGGAAATCGGGCTCTAACTTAGGAGAGAGGTGAAGGATAGTCCCAGGATGACAGCTAATGAATCAGGCCCAGGGAAATATCCAGTTTATGTTGAAGAGGAAAGGCCAGAGTCTGCAGGAGTGAGAAGAGATCGCTAGGGGAAAAAATATAACTGAGGGATTATTTGTGTTGGAACATTTGAAAAAAGTACTGAAGGTCTTGTGAAAGTGGTTTATTTTGTTTTGGTTGAAGGGGTTGACTAAAGTATATAATGATGGTAATAATACAATATATTTATATTTTAATATGTATTATGTCATTTGATTTTCTTAACTACTCTGAGATATTGGCAAGCCCAGTTATTCTTCTCATTGTATGTCATTGTATATGTGTAAAAATAGGCTGAAAGACATTGAGTGATCACAGTGTTAGATGCAAGACTAGAATCCTGGTCTAATTCCTGGTCTGGTACTCTTTCTACTACACCATGGATCTTCTACCAAAAGGCCTGAATGTATGCCTTATATACATACACTCCACATCATCACTGGATCATAAAAGCCATAAGCACCCATTTTGTCTTTTGCAATCTTACCCCAAATCCCTCTCCCCCACCAATACTCTAACATATTCTTGCTTGTTGCCAGCATATTCTTGCTTCTTTCCCTTTCCACTGGACACCAAACTAAATCTATTGACAATGACCTTCATTCTGCCTCTAGAATTAGTCTTTATTTTTTAACCCCCCTGGCTTTTTGGGTATGTGTGAGGAAGATTGGTCCTGAGCTAACATCTGTTTCCAATCTTCCTCTTTTTGCTTGAGGCAGATTGTCACTGAGCTAACATCTATGCCAGTCTTCGTCCATTTTGTATATGGGACACCACCACAGCATGGCTTGATGAGTGCTCTGTAGGTCTGAACCTGGGATCCAAACCTCTGAACCCCGGGCCACCGAAGCAGAGCGCGTGAACTTAACCACTACACCCCTGGGCTGACCCTGCAGTAATTAATTTTTATCTTTCTTCCCACCCACCACCTCAGACACATATACCTTACACTTTAGCACACTGAACTTCTTGGAGTTCTATTATTACATCATTTTCTTTTATTGTCTGGTTGTCAATGTACAGTGCTTTGTTGTTATTGTTGCCTGGAATGCTCTTCCTTCCTTTAGTTTAGTGGTTCTTAAAGAAGGGTTCCCAGAACAGCTTCCACAGCATCACCAATATACTTGTTAGAAATGCAAATATCCTGGTCCAACCTCTGAACTATCTTTTCAAGGATGTTTGTATAATGAATAGCTTAGTAAGTTAGAGATAGTGTTTCCCTCTACAGCAGAGGGCAGGTTGTTTGCAGCCCATTGTAAAAGGTTGGGGTTTCCTAAGCTCAGGGTTCCTTCCCAATAATACAGCCCACTGTGTGTGCTGATGACTTGGCCTTTGTCCCATCACTCTGTGGGAATTGCACTTGGGGAACTGCTGCAAGAAAATGATGATACTCCTATTGTTGTGAGTAAAGAACTGTCCTTTGCCTGCAATCCAAGAGTCTTATGTCTTTTCCTATATCCATGAAACTCTGGCAGGCTAAATTTTTAGCTTATCAGCAGGATAAAACCTCAGACCTTTCATAGTTCCTGACTCAAGTCGTCTTTAAGTTAGTGCTCTGAAATGGGAACCACTGCTTTTAATAATTGTTAATGGAAGCATAGTATTGAAAAAGCTTGATGTATAACAAGACAGTTTTTCAGTGTCAAATTTTGACTTTCAAATATTCTTTAGAATGTCTCCATTACCCTAGTTTTTTTTCTATCCTTAATTTACTAATTCATCAGCCATTTCTGTGTGTTATTTTTGCTCTTGTTTTTCTCAGATTGTGGCACCATTAGAAGCTGGGTTGATCCAAAGACAGACAGATGGCTGAAAGTGGTGAAAAAGAAAAAATAAAATGGACAACCACCGTTATTATTAGCTCATCTCTTAAGGTAAAGAGGCACTGGGGCCATTGATCTTTACTTAAAAAATTAAAAGCAATGGAACATTAAAAGATCCTAAGCTTGATTATCCAAAGTTGTGTGGATCAGCAAGTACAAAAGCTAAATGTATTTTAAAGATAAATTATAAACTTTACTGCATCCATTTTCAACATCCTACTTCTCTCAATATTTAAGGGTTGGAAATTTTTAAAGTTCTTTTTTTTCTCTCTAAGCATGTTCTAATAAAGATGTTAAATGATTCCAGAATCAGTAATGCATATGTACATATATATTACTTAAGGTTTTTTGAGAGAGAAACAACAGAAACTGATCTGTCTAGCCTTAGTGGCATTGGGAGGAGCTGTCCCCCTACAGTTTGTAAGAGGAGGGAGTGGGAAATTGAACGCCTGAGGGCAGTTGGTCAGTCCACAACTGTTTTCAACTCCTCAGCCAACAGGATTTCTCCATTCCCCTGATATTTATCTTATGAACACCAACTGATGTCTAGAGTGAAGGGGCAAGAAATGATTGTTCCATGGTAAAAAGGAGAGAGGCAAGAATAAGACTTTAAAATAAGATTTGTTATCCACCCTATCTTCTCACTGCTACCTCAGCTGCACTTTGCCCTGTTGTCTTTAGCCATCTATCTGCATCACACATACCAGTTTAATGCAGCTTTAAGTCTCACTGGAATTTTTCAAGCTTCCTTTTGTTAGATTTCTGGAATCCACGTTTCTCTTGTTTCTATAGCTTTTCCAGACTGATTTGGAGAGAGGGAGCCACCAACTCATGCTAATTTGCCACAAACAACTACTTTTAGTTCATTTATTTGTTATGTTTACCCATCTTGCTTTGTGCTTTCTGTTTGTCTCCTTTTCTTTGTTTCTTTTTTCTCTCCTTTCTTGCCTCATTTTGTATTAATGTGTTATTTTTTTTTCTTAACTAGCTTTGGAAGTTATATGCTCTGTTTCTACTTTTTAGTAGCTAATCTAGAAATTTTAACATGCACTTAGCTCCACAAAATCCAACGTAAATAATTATCTTTATCCTCCTCTTAAACAACAAAAGAATCTTAGAACACTTTAATTCCAATCACCTCTTTCTGGATTGTAGCCTGTTGTTTATCAGGTATAGTTTAATTCTATTTTTAACTCCACAAAGTATTATTTTCTAAAGTTAGCATTTGTTTAGATTTACTCATATCCTTGCTACTTCTTTGTTGTTCTTTCCTTCTTTTGGCTCAGACTTTCCATTTTGGATCACTTTCTTTTTATCTGAAGAACATAGTTTACAAATTACTTCAGTGAGGATCTTCTACAGGCAAAAACCTCTCAGTTTTTGTTAGTATCAAAATATTTTTATTTTCCCCTTAATCTTGAAAGATGTTTTAAAAATCAATTTAATTGAGGTCTAACTTACATATAATAAAATATACACATCTTAAATGTACAGTCTGATGAGTTTTGACAAATGTGTCTGTCTGTGTAACCCCTACCCCAATCAAAATGTAGAACATTTTCATCACTCCAGAAAGTTCCTTCATGCCTGTTTATAGTCAGTCCTTTTCCAGCCCCCCACCTCAAGCAACCATTGCTCTGATATTTATCATTATAATTAGTTTTGTCTGTTCTCAGAACTTCATATAAATGAAATGATGCAGTTTGTACTCTTTTGTGTCTGGCTTCTTTCATTAAACATAATGTTTTTGAGATTCATCTACATTGTTACATATAACAATAATTTGTTCCCCTTTTTTGCTCAGTAGTAGTTTGTTGTATGAGTATGTCCCAATGTCTGTATCTCTTCATAGGTAGATGGACTTGAGGGCTGTTTCCAGTTTTTGGCTATTATGAATTAAGTTGCTATGAACATTCATGTATAAGTCTCTGTGTAAACATGTTTTCATTTCTCTTATAAATACCTAGTAATGGAATTGCTGAGCCATATGGTGAGTGTATGTTTATCTTTATGAGAAACTGCTTAACTGTTTTCCAGAGTTTACTACAAATGAACATTAAATCCATTCAACTATGTAACTAAAATAGAAATTAATATGGGGATTATGGTTTTATACTCCCACCAGCATGCATGAGAGTTCCAGTTGCTTCAAATTGAAAGATATTTTTCACTAGATTTAATTATTTTCTCTCATTATATTGAAGATCTCATTTCACCGGATTCTGGCTTCCATTGTTGTTGATAAGACAGCAGTCAGTTTAATTGTCACTTCCTTGAAGATTACCTGTCTGTCCTCTTTGTCTGCTTCTCAGATTCTGGCATCATATAGTTTTAAGGTATTGATTTTTTATCTTTTGAGGCTCTATGAATCTGTGAATTAGTACCATTTATCAAGTTTTTATCCATCATCTTTAATATTGCCTCTGTCCTATTCTCTTTCTCCTTCCCCTCTGAACTCCAATTAGATGTGTGTTAGATGTTCTCACAATATTCTCCATGCATTTTGACCTCTCTTTCACCTTTCCATGTCTTTGGGCTGCAGTCTAGGTAATTTCATCACTTCTCTCTTCCATATCAATATTTATCTCTTTACTCCTGTTAAACTGATCTATTGAGGATCTTTGCTTTTTGTTTTCAGTTTTGTTTGATTTTTTTTCAAATTATGAAATATACGTAGAGAAAAGTATCTAACATATGAAAGAACCATTTAGTAGATTTATTTTAAAGAGAATACCATATAGCTAATTAGGTCAACAAATAGAATATTACGAATTGCCTTTTCCCCTCAGGACTTTTATTAATTATATCAGTGATCAAATACTAATTATATTAGATGTTTATAACTTTTATTAATTATATCAAATGTGTATAACACTTACAATTTTTCTATAACCATAATTCCTACATTTATTTTAATATTAGTTACACAGTTAAATGGATTCAATGTTTACTTCTAGTTTTCATGCAAAAGATAGGTCTTTCCAACACTTAACTTTACTAATGATCTGTCAAAGAAGCCTCAGGCACAGATGAAATGTTCTTTCCCTGGAGAAGTCAAAATTGTCAGACATGGCTTTCAAAAATGTCCCCCAAAGTAGAGAGTCTATTCTTTTTCATGTATTTTGTTTGCAGTTCTCCATGTCTCCTAGAGTTTTATCAAAAATAAAGTTTGCTTTTGTTTCTCATTCTTTGGTTTTTGTGTACTCTCCAAAGAGAGAAAGGGGGACACCATCATTTTTATTCCAATAGTTTCTATTTTTTAATATTTTAAATGGTGCTTTATTTTACCCTTCTTATACATAAATCTTTTTATTGTTTATTATTGTCTTAGGAAAATTGTTAGAAGCAGAATAGTTGGGTTAAAGAGGCATCCACATTTTAAGACTTGATATGTATCATCAAATTACTGTCCAGAATGTCTTTACACTCCTATCAGCAGTCTATAAAAGGGTCAACTTATCCTCATGTTTGACAATTCCATGTGTTATCATTTTATGAAAATCTTTGCTAGTTTGATACTTTGTATTTATTTGATGACAAAGGAGATTAAACATTTTTTCATATACATATTCATTATTTTTATTTCCTTTATAATTGTCTTTGCTTTTTTCTATTGGCATAAAAAGTAAATATCTATTCTTTAAAAATATTAAAAATAATATACATTTGTGTTATAAGATTGATTACAAATTTTCTCAGGCTTTTTGTCTTTCAGTATTATTGGATATTTGTGACATCATAATTTGCAAATTTTATTTCTACTCTATCTTGAGGAATTAAGGCAGCTGTTTTTATTATATAGTCAAATTTAACAACTTTTTTCTGGAGATTTCTTAAATAGCTCTTATTCTTAGAAAATTTTTCATATCTCAAGCTTAATGTTATACATAAAGGCACGTGTTCACATACAAATAATTATTACATATTATTATATAGTTGAGTCTGATTCTGTTCTGTTCAGTTGATTTGTGTATTAAATATTGAATCATTACCACACTTTTAAATTCATTGTAGTTTCATGATATATTTTAAAACCCAGTAAGGCATGTTCCTTCCATACTAGTCTTATGTTTTTAAAAACATGTTTGTTCTTCTAGATCAGAGAATCAGCAAACTATGGCCTGCAGCCTGTTTTTGTCCAGCCAATGAGTTAAGAATGTTTTTTACATTTTTAAAGGCTTGTAAAAAAGAAAGAAAGAGAGAGAAGTGGGGGAGGAAAAAAGGGAGAAAGGAAAGAAGAAAAAGAGAGAAAGGAAGGAAAAAAGAAAGGAAGGAAGGAAAGAAGGCAGGGAGAGAGGGAAAAGGAAAAGAAAAGAAGAAAAGGAAAAAAAATGTGACAGAGATCATACACAGCCTGAAAAGCCTAAAATGTTTATATCTGTCCTTCTACTGAAAAAGTTTGCCAAACTTTGTTCTAGATGAACTTCAGAAGCACTTTAGGTTCAAAAAAGTTCCGTCACAGTTTTGATTTAAATTTAACTTACTAAATTAGGGAAAAATTTATTCTTTCTGCCCATCTCATGAACACATATCATTGTATTTTTTTTTCAAGTCTTTATATCCTCAAGTAAAGTTTAAAATTTTTTCTTCATATTGTTCCTTTTTTTTTTTTTGGTTGTCAAGTGATCCTTTATTGAAGTATTTTCATTAGTGGTTTTTACCCAGCTGGGCATTCCACTGCACTACTGTGGATGTCATGTATGATGTCATGAGTGTGGCAGCCATAAACACTGCAACCCACAGACTGGGCTGTCCCCAGGATTTCTTTAATGGCTCCAGAGCGTTCTCTGGCCAGTTACCATGCAGCATCTGTCAGCTAATGTTGACACTATCATCAAAGGTTCTATTTTCACTGTACTTAATGTTTTTCTGCTTCTTCCTGTCTCTTGGTGGTTCCTTGAGGGCTTTGATGATCAGGGCAGAGGCAGAAGTTACCTCCTCAGTCTGAGCCGGACGGTTCTGAATTGTCAGTTTCACTGTAATCCTCAGGCCCTTCCAATCACCAGTTGCCTTGGCGATGTCACTCACCTCTTTTTGGAGACAGACCCAGGGGGCCGATCTTGGGGGCCAGGGTAGATGTGGCACTGACTTCCCCACTGGTGCACCTCAGGTACACTTGAATTTCTTTGGGGTTGAATTTAGGCGGCATGGTGGATGCGGCTAATGTTGGGTGAACCTGGATTTGGGACTACGGAAGAAGGTTGCACCTTGGCCGCCTTCAAGGCAAAAGCCAAAAGCTCTATTTCTTTTTCAGTGCTTGATAGTTGATGTTTTTGTTGCTATTGTGAAATATTATTTTTTTCCCCATGTTTTCAATCTATAATATAGGGCAGCTGTTGAGTTTGTGGTAATTTATATTTAATCATTTCAGTATAATTTCACAATACATTATCAGTTGATTCTCTTGGGTTTTCAACAAAGGCAACCATAATTTGCAAGTAATGAGAATTTCTGACAGCTGTTTCTGTTTTTATTTTGTGGCCTTTTGCTGTGACCAGAGCATCCTAACCAATGTCTCTAATTTTAATGAAATACCTCCAGTTTTATTATATGTTACCTGTTGCTATAAAATATTTATTATGTTAATATTCATCTAAGCTTAATTTATGAAGTTTTTTCTCTTAATCAGAAATACGTGTACAGTTTTTTAAATGCATTATTTTTTGTTATCTGTACAGAAGAACCTAAGTGACTAATCCTTACATTTCTTTATTAAACTGTTTGGTCATTGTGGAGTTTTCTTTCATATTCTCTTAAAATTTGGTTTGCTATTTTATTTTTGAATCACTATTTACTAAAGCTTGAGCTGTGCTTTTTCTTTTTTTATAGGGAGTAGGGGGTTTTCTTTTTTTTTTCTTTTGTTTATATCTATGCAGTTTATGTAATATGGAAATTATTTGTACTTTAAGGTATAAAGGAGCTTTCCTATTAAATTTTCTGTGCTGGTAATCTTTTATGAAATTTAGAAAAATAGTGATTTCTATGATTTTTTCTTTTAGGTTTTGTACTATGTTGTGAGTCTATTTCATAAATTATATTTTTTCAAAAATTTACTCATTTCATAGAGGTTATTAAATTTATTAAGTTGAACTTTATGAAATTGCCATTTCTGTGATTAAAAATTACATATTGGCATTCTCTTAATTTTCTAGTAAACTCTGTATCAGTTATTAAAGGCCCTTTTTCATTTCTGTTTTTATTTCTATTTCCTTTCTTATGAGTAGACTTGCTAGACAGACTACTAGTTAAATAAAATACAGACCACTAAGTTAAATCTGAGTTTCAGATAAACAATGAATTTAGTTAAGTACACCTCAAACATTGCATGGGATATACTTATACTAAAAAGTTATGTTATCTGAAATTCAAATTAAACTAGGTGTTTTGTATTTTTATTTGCTAATCTGGCAACCCAAGCCCTAAGGCGTCTATTGTATTGTAATAAATGAACTTATCTCTTGTGCATCTAGAATGGTACTAGTTATGGGAGAACTGAGAAAATAGTCACTCACATCATTTTCTTTGTTCTGTAGTTCAAACGAGGAGACCTGATTGAGAAAGGTTGCTCTAGGGAGTGCTTCTGCAAGGTGCTTGGGAGCATTAGTAATACAGTATCACCTTAATACAATTTCCAGGATTGAAATGGTTTGAAGCTAGCTGCAGACCCTGTGAGAGCTGTTCTACTTTTTTCAAAAGCTCTGTTCAGCCTCTCATCTGTCTCCCGAATTGGCAGATGCCCACAGGGAAAAAATGGCCTAAATGCTAGTCTTATATCTTTGAATTTCTGTATAGATCTTGCCTTGTAATGTTTTACTATCCTGCTAGCTTTCTCATGCATTCAAACAGCTTTTAAAAGTTGTCCAGCTTTTTTAGTTGCCTTCAGCAGGAGGGTTGGCCTAAATTACTTAGTCTGCCCAAACTGCAAGCAAGGTATAATTTTAAAACAGCAGAAGAAAACTCATGGGAAGAGTCATAGTTGAACTTTAGGTCAGGATCTGTTTAAGTGGTACAAAATACTCTCTTTAGGAAAGGAAAGGAAGTGTATTTTTTATACCTAATTCCAACCTGTGTGCTTAAAATATACATGTTCTGAGGCCAAATATAAAATAAAATTAATATACCTAAGGGATTTTTATCTACTTGGAGAATAGCAAGCTTGAGTTTTAACCAATGAGGAAACACTATTAACTACTTAAATTTTCATGTCTTGGGTAATATGATCTAATTACTTGGGTGGAACAGGAAATAAGATGAGTTTTGAAATGGTTAGTATTTAACCCAGAAGTACTGTTGCTGCTTCATACATGTTTTCTGACTGACCTAAGGCTTAAAACATTTTAAAAGTATATTAAAAGTAAATGTAATATAAACAGATGAACTAGAGAATTGAGGGTCTCCTTCTGGTATTCTGTATGTCTGGTACTTCATGTTTCTGTCAACCAGGTAAGAAACACACCAATGCCCACCCTTCCAGTAATACATTAATTCATATCAGAATCTACAACTTGTTTAGAAAGAAATTTATATTTGATCTGGTTCTTGTAGTGTAGTTTTTAAATATTTTCCTTAATGTGTGCCCCTAGGTAACATAACTGTAGTACACAACTTATTTCCAAACCTACAATCAGTGTGATTCAGTGGAACTAAATATTTTTTATCTTTTTTTTTCTCCAAAGAGAGTACATTTAGTATCTCTTTTGATCAAATCTTTAAGTGGTATAGTTATAAAAGAAGCTAGTAAACTTATTTTAATTTTTTCATTAGCTTTAATAAAAAAAACTATTCTAAGTATGTCTTAAGTTTGTATTTCTGAAAATTTTTTAAAGAGTTACGAAGTTGCAACTGCCCTAGAAAATCGAAGCCACAAGATTCGGTATTCAGATTCAGTGGAAAATGGATCAATTATATTTTCTCTTTCTGGTACAGTATATTTGCTAACTGCCTTGATTTAAGTTTCTTATAAAAATGAGTATAAATTCTAATAATTTGGTAGTAACCAAGTAAGCTTAAGGCATTATCTTTTGAGACTGTAAGTATATAGAACTTTGTTACTGCTGCAAAAGCACTGCATACGGCCAGTTACAAAATACATTCCTTTTAGATTACAATTATTGAACTAAAGCTGAACCAGCAGAGTCTGGTTAAAAACTACTCGCTTTGGAACTAAGATGAAAATAGAACAAAGCCACCTCCCTAAGAACAATACTTATATTCAAGTATTACCTGTATTAACAAAGAGCCCAACATCACAACATTGGTCAAAATCCATATACAAAAACAACATAGAATACTCTTCCTATATGATTTTGTACAAACGTTTGCTGAATATAATATAAACAAATACTAACTAAAAGAACCAAATGTTCCTGAAATCATAAAACTGTACAACTGTGAGTCATGGGCAAAGTACAGGAAGGAATTAGGAGACAAATAGTCCTGAAATCCTGAAAGTGTACAACTGTGAGTCATGGGCACAGTACGGGAAGGAATTAGATTAGGATATGAGAAGGATGGGGACATGGGAAGGGGACAGCTCCACTTAGGCTTGGGAAATGACAGAAGTGATAAAAGAGGTAGAAGTGAAGGATTTTATCAGGAGGGTTGCAAATAGACCTGTGTTCCAGCAGAGGTTTTCTAACACAGGTGTTTTTAAAAGCTCCTAGAAATAGACCTCCAGGCTGGAAGTGGTCCACCCTCAAACTCATCCTTCCTGGTTGAATAGAGCACCCTCTAGGGAGAAATAAAATATCTTTGGTGAATACCTACTATGTGCCTTGGTCACTTTATATACATTATCTTATTTAATCCTTTCAACAAACCTATCAAAGAACTATTATTCCAGTCTTACAGATGAAGAAATTTAGGTTCAGAGAGGTTATATAAATTGCCCAAATTCACTAAATTAGCATATAATCACATAGTCACTTTCCTCAGATTATGTCTTCCCCTCATCTTTTAAAGAACTAATTAGATCAGCTTTACCTCCTGGACCATTCTTATAGGCCTGATACTGTTTCAGAGATCCTAGATATCTGCTTACTGAGTATATTAATTTATATAATCATGTTCTGGTACAAAAGTTTCTCCAAGAAATAACTGAAGGCTTGCTTAAGGCTACCTTTCTTTAGTTGATTTCCAGCATTTAAAAATCATTATAACATAGAAAATTAACCTTTAACTAAAATTAGGCATTACCTTCATTGTGGACAGTTGCTCAATCTAAAAAAAAAAGAAAAAGGTTACTGATCAAAAAAATTTTTTCTCTTAAATGTTTAGGATAAGTCATCTTTTTATACAGAGCACTTCAAAGAACTACCTAAATTATTTTGTGTAAGAACTTTCTTATAATAATTTCTACTCCTTATGGATTTAGGGCCTGGACACTTATAGCTATTTTTGTTGATTTTACTGAGTTTATAAAAAAAATTGGTATGACAAAGTGACATTTTCCATTACATTCACCTCTCCTAGGTGTTGCATTTTTATTGATGGATGCTAAAGAATGCTTTACGTCAGCTGAAGAAATACTTCTAGCCAAAATTGAGAAGTTTATTAACATTCACCGAAACAGTTTTTTGGTTCTTTCTGCTGCCCTTCATGGGCTTGAGGAATGGAAACTGATGTTCAGGATTCAGCAGAGGTATGGAAAAACAGCACTACAGACTCATTTTTCTTAAATTATATTTGGTTTGCTTCAGTTCTGAATTCTTTTAGACAGGTGAGTTATGTTTTGCCAATAGATAAACTTTATAATGTTAACCTATCATATTTAATAAAATGCAGGCTAAATGGCTATTCTATGAATCACAGAGTTCATGGTGATTTATGGAATTCTCCTGCAAGATGAAACCAAAAGTGAATACTTTTTAGTCAGTTAAGTTCTGGCCATAAAGCCATATCATATCTTCTGTGGAATAAGGAAGGGCATGAATGAATAAACAAATGACAAACAATAAAAGATATATTTTTACATACTTCAGATAACAGATGTCAATGAGTTACATGATACATTTAACTTATGAATTGTTTTTCAGATTCCTGGGTAGTAACTTACGGATACTTCCAGTACACAACGCAGTAAATGCTGTTAATCTTATGTGCACTATAGCTAAGGTGAGTCACCTGAGGAAAATGACACATACATAGACACACACTCATACACTTTAAGGTTCTTGAACCTTCAAAATGCACACCCTCTTGGACAGGATTGACAAATACTCTGCTTCTGGTCCCCTCAGAGAAGTTGCTATTTCAGCATGCAACTTTTTGCCAAGCCTAAACTCAGCTTCTCATGTCTTCTCACTTACTTCCGGTAGCCACTACCAGAATGACACATTTTGGGCCAAAAAAGCATTTGGCCATATATACATTGTGTTGACCCTTTTGGTTACTTAAATCTTCAAATTCTAAAGTAAAAATACTGGTAGTCACGAACTGTCAGAGTGCAAACATACTATTTTATAGAATGCTCTTCACCAGCTGTCCACTTTCTTTTCATGCTTGTCCTCCCTGTGGAGGGGGGAGTGTCCTCAACTCCCCTAAGCAGAGTTAGGTGTTCCTTACTCTTATTTGGAACAGACCTCCATTCAAGCAATTCTTACAGTATTCTTTTTGGCTTGCATGTTTGAAATTCCTTAAAGACAGAGATCATGTATTTTTCTCTCTATTACTTTAAGAACACATATGCATACATAGTATTTAGCACACAGAAAGTGAGAGATACTTGTTGAATAAATGAAAGGTATTTTTTTATGTGACCCTGTAAAAGTACCTGTTTATGTAAATAATGTTGCATGTTTATATGTTCTTCCAGATTGCCTCCAAACCATATATAGGTAGCATCTGTTATAGAATGATAACAACCAAAGCTTACATCGTTGAGCAAAGTCCTGTTTGGAAAACACTTCAAAAGATAAAACTTAGTAGTGATTCATTTAACCCAAATTAGAGTGTAAATTATAAATGTTCTTTTGGAAGAATACTGAAATAATTAGACTGGTTAAGTTATAATGTTCAAATATATATATTTACTTCAAAGATTTTTAAATTAACATAATAAAATGTATACAATTAAAAGTGATTTTATTGTGTTTTGTTGAATAGTTCCTTTACTAACATTTAGAAAAAATTGGTACATACATATAAAACTCAGATTTAGTTTCTTAATGATACAAATTAAGTTGGATGGACAAATATTTACTAGAAAATAAAAATATGGCATTTTCTAATTAGCCCCTTAGACTAACGGAAAAGTCATGCATACTTTTTAGCTTTTCCACAGGGGCAATCAGCATTTCTAAAATTAATCTTCACAGATGCTTCCACGTTGTAACTGCTGCTGGAGAGGTGCCCCCTAAAACTCCTTCTGAGGGAGGGAAAGAGAGGGAAATTAAGAGAAGCAGTTAACTGGCCTGAATTCAAAACCACTCTATACTCTTAGAGCAGTGTGATATCCAGTTTGACACTAGGAGTTCTGAAATGTAACACAGCATCTAACTGGAACATAAAGTGTATCAGTATTTTTATAAACTCACTACAATTGTATGAATGAATAAAAGGCAATTTACACTTTATGAAATTATAACAAAAATTATTAATTTGTATTGGATTTCCAACAGTAGTATTTATAATACATATATGGGCATTATTTACCATGTAGATAGCTTTATAAAACCAAAGACTACTACTGATCCATAATGTGTCATTACAGAGACTGATAAATGAGAAAAGCTACATTTATTTTTCTTTCAGCAAGTATTTTACAGAAAAATTTTTATAAAGGTATTAAATAAACCATAATGGAAAATACAGTATTTTATTAGTTTTTTCTCTAGGAGATGGGGCTGCCAGTTTATCCCATATTTTCTTCAGAGCTAGACTTTGTTTTTATTTCAATGAGTTCTTCTACTCGAGCCAGAACACTTTCAATCAAATCAAATGTGAAAAGAGCTGAATGTAGAACCTGCAATGCCAAGAAAAATTAGTGTTATTAAGGCTGTCTTTAAAACAAAACAAAGAAAAAAGAAAAGACTACAGCTGGATGTAGCTTAGGAAATTTCAGATCTACCTTAAGCTGCATTTCAGGAGGCATATTAGGGATCTCTTCTCCACCTACAGTTACAGAACAGAGATCTTTAGAATTCTGGACTTCTGTTAGAGAAGAAAGAAAAAAAATCCTGTGTTACACTTAACCATTAAAACAACTCTTAGATTTCAATAATAAATTTATAAGCTATTTTCATCATTCACTAACGTAAAATAATCTCAATTTGTGTAAATTATTAATAGCTTATTTAATAACTCAGAGTATGCTTAAATCGAGCTATAAGCAAATAAAAATATTAAAATTCTGCAACATGGAAAATTAGTGTTCTTTAGGTGAATAGCATTATTTTGGCATGTACAGGATGAATGAAAATTTATAAACTTTTTTCTTCAGTAGAGAATCAGAATTATACCTGTTACACTAAAAAAGACAAAATTTCTAGTAATGCCTATAGAAATACCACCATAGCTATATGGAAAAGATCACAAGATTATTATAGTAGAATTGCTGGCTTTAAAAAGTAATTCTGGATCTAAGACCCTTTTTTGTAATTTGTATAGATTTACTTGAGGGTGCAGGGGGTGGACCCAGCAATACCAAAGGAAGTATGATATCCAAACAGAAATACTGGTAATACGATTAGAACTTGAGGTTTTAAACCAGAATTTGCTTCAGTTTGGTTTAAATCTTGGTTAACCCAATTTCAGTGTTAATCCATTTATAACTTAATGATTCACTTAAGAATTATTTTAATTATAAATAAAGTGACTTAGCTGTCATGGTTCCTTGTTTGCTATAAATTAGCCAAGTACAAGATTAAAAAAAAAAGTTCTTTATTTTGAATATAAATGACAGTTCTAAAATTTGACTAGTTTTTAGACCTAACCAAAAATGAAATTGCATATTACCAACCTTGGCTATTTTCTTGGCTATTTTTAATTTCTGCTTCATAATGTGCTTTTGACATATTAAGTCCTGTATGGAGTGGCTTTAAGAAATTATTCTGTATCTTTCCAAGTTCTGTCCATAATCCAGTCTGTTCAGAAGAATTAATGAAAGAATTGGTTATTTGGCTCAACATTTATTGATTGCCTACTATATTAACATGTGCTGAGAGTTGGAAAAACATACCTGTATAAGACACGATTCTTGCCTTTCAAGGTAGAGTTTACTGTTTAAAAATACATTCATTACACATCTAGTTATTTTATGTGAATACCAATCAAAACAAAAATGTACTTTGGTTAGTACACTCATTATTGCACCAATTGGACAGCTCCTGGTTTTGAGATCTATAATTTACAAGTTTTATCTATGAGAAAATTATTTGAGGATAATCCACATAGTCTGAGACGTTTCTCTTTCCTTATAAACCATCTCCACAATGACTCTACCTTAGATATCCTCAACTCTTCATCTTTCAACTGATATCCTTGTCGCAGATTTAGTTCTAGAGGATTCTTTTGCCTTTCCTATTGACGGAAACTTTTCTAACACAAAGCTGATACGGACTGTCTTGGGCATCAATGTAGATGGAGATTTTACCGGCCTAGCATAGCTCAGGGTTATATTATCATCCATATTAGAAGTTTTTACTTCAAGAGCATTTCCTCTTACAGTACTAAAGAAGGGGAGTCACAGAAATCAATTTTATTTAAAAAAATAAATTTATTGGGGCTGGCCCCGTGGCCGAGTGATTAAGTTCGTGCGCTCCGCGGCAGGTGGCCCAGTGTTTCATTGGTTCAAATCCTGGGTGTGGACATGGCACTGCTCATCAAACCACGCTGAGGCAGTGTCCCACATGCCACAACTAGAAGGACCCACAATGAAGAATATACAACTATGTACCAGGGGGCTTTGGGGAGAAAAAGGAAAAAAATAAAATCTTAAAAAAAAAAAAAATTTATTGGTATTATTGTTTTCAGCTACTCTTTACAAAGGAAAATATCTTAGGTAAAAAATGGAAACTTAGGAATCCAATTATCTTTAACTAGAACTGGACCACTTGCAAACCTATTTTGTAACGAACGTATTTTGATCCAAGTAGTAAGACATTTTACGTATTGTCCTTCAAATAAAATCTACACGTATCCATGTTGAACAACTGATAACTTCAGTGACTGTCACACATATCCTTTTAATTTAAATTTGTCCTTTCACATTATTCCTATACTGCTAGGAAAAGTGGAATTCTTGGGAAGAACTATCAAGAATCCAAAACCTCAAAAATATGCATACCTTTTCACTCAGCATCTATGAACCTATCCTGGAAAATAATTAAAGATGTAGTTGTAATGATTCTATTGCAGACATGTTTACAAAAATAATGTTAAAAAGTGAAAAATTGGAGGTAATGAAAACATTTCACAACAGGAGATTGCTAAGTAAACTGTGGTATATCCACACAATGGAAAACTACACAGCCAGTAAAATATTGTTCTTCAGTACATAACAGTGATGGGAAAAAAGTTACAAACTATGATTCTGATAGTATGATCTCTTTTTTTTCTGGTGAGGAAGATTGGCCCTGAGCTAACATCTGTGCCAGTCTTCCTCTATTGTGTAAATGGGATGCCGCCACAGCATGGCTTGATGAGTGGTGGTGCGCAGGTCCATGCCTGGGATCCAAACCCATGAACCCTGGGCTGCTGAAGCAGAGCACATGAAGTTAACCACTATACCACTGGGCCAGCCACTGATCTCATTTTTAAAAAAGAAAAAAAGTATATACACATGTGCTAGCATAAAGTCTAGAAGGGAATGCACTGTAATATCAATGATAGATGGTAGGTTTTTGATTATTTCCTTTTTGCTTATTTATCCTGATTTTTAAACAATGAAATTGTTTTAGTTGTATACTTTGAAAAACATTTAAAAATGTTTTTAAACTTCCGTTAAAATGGAAAGTTTTCTTGTCCTCTTATGGAAAACCTTTCTCTATCCCTTTTTTTGAACCTTCCTCTTTCCTTGACCTCCCTCTAAGCACCCGGTAGAACCCACGGCTGCTGCCCAGTATTCCTGATGGCTTTCAAGGCTCAAAGCTTACTGACGGCCCTCTATAGATTAAAACATATTCCAACATCCAGTAGAGAGAAAACGCCCTTTCACTCACCCAGCTTTGTCAAATGTAAACATTTTACCACATTTACTTAAAAATAAATAAATATTAGATGTGGTTAAAGCCCCCTTTATTCAAGAGGAAGCCATTAACTAAACTATGTAAAACTATCTAAAACTGTAAACATTTTACATTTACTTAAAAAATAAGTATTAGACATGGTTGAAGCCCCCTTTATTCAAGAGGAAGCCATTAACTATGTAAAACTATCTAAAACTTGAGGTTTTAGCATTCCTAATCTGTGTATACAACATACCACAATTTTGCATGTTAAAAAAAAACTTAGATAAATTCTATCATGCTGTACATATCCTGCTTTAGCTTTTGTTTGGTCAATTTTAAATTTTTGAGAGTTATTTATTTGTAGCTCTGATCTTTTCATTTTAATTGGTGTCTAGGCATCCTATTATACTATACAATTTATCTTGTGACAGATTTTTTAGTATTTTAAACAATGCTGCACTGAAATTGCTGTCTATGTTTTCTTTCTAGGGTATCATTTCTCAAAATACTTTTACCATGGCCCACAGTAATAAATTATATATATTTACATCACAACTCAACACACATATTTATATAGTTGAAACAACAGTTTTACAAAATGTCCTTTCTAGACACATCAGATATAACTTTATTAATATTTAAATATAGAAAACCCCCAAAATTAATTAAAATAATTAAAGAATAAACATTAAGAAAGATGATGTGCTTGCCTGTTCATAGGGTCATTCCAGTCTAGTGCAGTATTGAGCATGGTCTTTTTTATTTATTTTTTAATGTTAGGTTTATCAAGGTATCATTTACATATAGTAAAATAAGCACTTTTTAGCTGTACGGTCCTATGAGTTTTGACAAAGATGTACAGTTGTGTAACCATCACAACTATATAAATATTTCCATGACCCCAGAAGTTCCCTTGTGCCCCTCTGTAGTCAGTTTTCTTCCTTCATCCCTGGGCAACCACTGATCTAATTTTTGTTTATGTTTTTCCTTTTTCAGAATGTCATAAAAATGGAATCATAAATGTAGCTCTTTGTGGTAGTGTGATACTGTGACTTATAAGAAATACTATATTTGAGGTGCTAGCCCGGTGGTGCAGGGGTTAAATGTGCATGTTCCGCTTTGGCAGCCCAGGGTTTGCCAGTTCGGATCCTGGGTGCAGACATGGCACCGCTTGTCAAGCCATGCTGTGGTAGGTGTCCCACATATAAAGCAGAGGAAGATGGGCACGGATGTTAGCTCAGGGCCAGTCTTCCTTAGCAAAAAGAGGAGCACTGGCAGTGGATGTTAGCTCAGGGCTAATCTTCCTCCAAAAAAATAAAAATAAAAATAATATATTTGGGCTTGATCCTATTCCTGGCAAAAAGCTCCTAAAAACCCTTCAACTTGCTGTGATAAGAGAGGTCAGGTTATCTAGTGGTTATTCATATCAAGTCCCTTTGAACCATGCATAGGATGACTTTTGGAAAGCCCCTAAGGATGGGGGCTGCTGCCAGGGGAACCAACCATGTGATTAGAGGGTTGGAACTTTCAGTTCCTTCTACCCCAAAGTCCCAGGAGGGGAGAGGGGCTGCAGACTGAGCTCAATCACCAAATGGCCTGTGTTAATCAATCATGATGATGTAATGAAGCCTTCCTAAAAACCCAAAAGGACTGGGTTCAGAGAGCTTCTGGGTTAGTGGACACGTGGAGGTGTTGGGAGAGTGGCTTCAGAGTGGGCATGGAAGATCCACGAGCCTTCTCTCATACCTTGCCCTATGCATCTCTTTCATCTGGCTGTTCCTATGCCATATCATTTTGTAACAAACCCGGAATCTAGGAAGTAAAATGTCTTGAGTTCTGTGAACAGCACTAGCAAATTAATTAAACCTAGGGAAGAGGTCATGGGAACCTCCAATTTACAGCCAATCTGTCAGAAGCAAAGCTCTTGGACTTCTGATTGGCATTTGAAGGTGAGTGGGCAGGTGGGCAGTGTTGTGGGACTGAGCCCTTAACTTGTGGAATCTGACGCTAACTCTAGGTAGACAGTGTCAGAACTGAACTGAATTGTAGGACACCCAACTGGTGTCAAAGAATTGCTCAATGTGGGAAAACCTCTACACATCTGGTGACCAGAAGTGTCAAAATGAAGTGAAGTACTGAGAGTAGAGAAGAAACACAGGAGTATTTTTCCTCTACGGGCAGAAATTAACAAAATGATTCTAGAATTTATATGGAAAAGCAAAGGACTTAGAATAGCAAAAAGATTTTGAAAAAGAACAAAGCTGGTAGACACACTACTTGAGTTCAAGACTTACTATATAAAGCTACAGTAATCAAGATGGTGTGGTACTAGTAAAAGCACAGACATAGGTCAATGGAACAGAATAGAGTCCAAAAATACACTCATATGGTCAATTGATTTTTCACAAAGATCCCAAGATAATTCAGTAAGTTAAGGATAGCCTTTTCAACAAATAGTGCTCGAGTCAAAACAAAACAAAAAAACCCTTGGCCCATACCTCACATCATATAAAAAATACACTTGAAAATGGATCATAGAGCTAAATATAGAATCTAAAGCTATAAAAACTTCTGTAGGAAAACCTAGATCTTTATGACCTTGGGTTAAGCAAAGATTTTTTAGAACTCAAAAAGCATAAATCACATAAAAGAATAAAACTGAGAAGCTGGACTTCATCAAAATAAAAAATTTCTGCTCTTTGAAAAACACTATTTAGATAATGAAAATACAAGCCACAGACTGGAAGAAAATATTTACAAAAACCATAACTAAGAAAGGACTTTCTAGAATACGGGGACAAGTTTCCTGTAAAAAAAGTTGGGCTAAGAAAATTTTTCCTTTCACCCTTTTAGTTTTACTTAGTAACAGAAATTCTTTGAAATTTTATTCCCAAAATGGTGATAAACAATGTCTT